TAAAGTCTCATCTTTTGTGTTGGCCGAAGTGACAATAGTCACATTGAACCCTCGAAGATGCTCGAAGATCTCGAAATGATCTTCCAGTTCCGGGGAGAATTCGCAAAACTCCGTTTCCATCGAAAAAAGAATGGGGTTTTCCCTTATTTCGACCGGAGAATAGAAAAGAGACATTACTGTCGAGATTCTGACCAAAAAATGAGACATTCCATGCCCTCGGAGAGCGCTTTTTCGTGCAAAGTCACTGACATATCCAGTGTCTTTTTCGGACCCCAAGAATGGATTGGATCGAAACGACTTTCCTGCTTGGAAAGAAGGCCCCCTTTTTGTCTGAAAGAATCTCTGACCGCACGTCATCTCCATAGCCAATTTTCCAAAGAGGATTCTGAAATCAGAGTTTGGTACTAATCTGATTTCACACGAACCGGAACCTTCCATAACGTTGGCGTGATTCGGTTTGAGCAACGGATCCTGACGTGATACATCTTCGTAATGAAAATGGAGTGGAAACATCATGATGAGTTGGCTTTTCCGGTTTTTTTGAGAATGAGCACTGTGAACTATCCGCTTACAAAATGATAGTGGATCGAACCAAAACTAACGTCACGTTCAGTCAAGTTTATCTGCCGATACCTTTCCCACCCAGGCGATACCTAATCCCGGCGCGAGGACTTCAACATTGAAATCGTGAGGCAAGGTGAGAACGGTAGGCCTATATTGGGAAGGGGAGCTCTTCGTTCAGTGCGAACAAGCGGTATGACACTCATCTCTTTGCTCCGCACCTCTCTTTGAAGTCGAGTCTAACAGAAGTTCTCCTCTCAGTCTATTCAGAAAGAAACAAATTCTACACGACTTGAATTGAAGTCGAGAAATGAGTTTTCAACAGGTGGCATGAAAGTTTGGTTTTTCTCGGATCCGGAAAATGCTTTTGAATCAAAATTCCCGGGTTTCATGAAAAGTCTAGCTTTTTGAGATCTCTATATCCTCTCCTGCTGAACAGTCGAGCCTGTCTCCTCTCAAGCAGGGGATTCTCGAACAGCTTTTCTTCTGTATTCGATGCATCTCATCCATGTCATCTTAGAAATCTAGGCATTGAGTATTAAGGAAATAGAAACCGCATCACGTGCTACATAGCAACTCGAGGCACAAGCACACGAGTCATAGGTACCAACGGAGATCTCTATATCCTCTCCTGCTAAACAGTCGAGCCTGTCTCCTCTCAAGCAGGGGATTCTCGAACAGCTTTTCTTCTGTATTCGATGCATCTCATCCATGTCATCTTAGAAATCTAGGCATTGAGTATTAAGGAAATAGAAACCGCATCACGTGCTACATAGCAACTCGAGGCACAAGCACACGAGTCATAGGTACCAACGAAAACCTCAAAAAAAAAGACCGGACTTGGGTTGATGGGATTGTCAGTAGAGATTCAAGTAAGCTTGTGAAGATCTTCATTGTTGAGCATGTGGATGTTTTATTGTTCGGGGCAGAGACGACACTCGCGATGTCTCCAAAGAATGAGTGAAGAAGTGAAGTTCGGGTTGAGTGTTGAACCTGGGGAAGTGCCCCAGGATCAACGCCTCAAACTAATGAGAAAAAGGCGGGCTCCGTCATACGTATATGTCAATCTTTCTCTCGGCGATCCTTCGATGGGATCCTATTAAGGTGTCTCTCCGAAGAAGAATCCAAACTGGCTTTATAAGAAGCACACTCCGGTGTTTGTGGTGCACATCAGTCAGGACCTCAGTTGTACCATCAATTGAGACACTTGGGTACTGGCCTTCTCTGATAAAGGATGCTATCCAGTTTTCCAAAACAAAAGATGTCACGTGTGTCAAATACACGCGGACTTTATCAGACAACCGCCGGAACCTCTACATCCTACTATGATTTCCTTGCCTTTCGATGCATGGGGCATGGACGTCATCGGGCCAATGAAACCCCCATCATCTCAAGGCTACGTTCATCTTGGCAGCGACAGACTCTTTCTCCAAATGGGCAGAGGCCATCCCCCTGAAGGAAGTTCAAGCAGAAAGAATTGAATCCTGTGGATGCTTTCTTGCATCTTAGCAATTCGGCCATTTGCTCTTGCAACCGCTGAAGTTGCTAGGGATCGGCCTGATGAGGGCGCACTGCTAGCCCGCCCCTCTTAGGAAGGCATTGGAGCTGGGTCTTCCCTAGGTCTTTCATCTCAAAAAAAGCATATTTTCTCTTCGCAAACAATTCTTTTAGACTAGGAATTGAATTTCCAGTTACCACTATGTCATCCACATATACACGCAAAAGGCCAGACTGGATCTTTTTTTGAGAAACAAGGAGTGGTCTTAAGAAGATCTACAAAATCCTGCTCTCTCCTCTCCTTATCAGTCGAGCTATCGCCTCTCTTCGTCGGGCAAGTTGAGTACTCAGATTCGGCGCTTGCTTGAAATCTCTCTTTTCAGATGAAACCTGACATTACATTGATTCTGTCTCCATTGTTGGAAAGGCGCTAGCTGGATCTTTAGCTAGCTCATAGGCGGAGGAAAGGCGCGGCGAAGCGTCTCGTTCAAAGATCAGGCACGTAGTGAAGAGGATCTCGTTGACTTCAAACAAGTAAATTGAAGCATATGCTAGCTCTGCTAGAAAGCCAAAGGAACCTTTGACTGAGAAAAGTTCTGTGCTGCTCCCCACTCCCCGAGGCCAAGGACGGGGTCGAACCGTCATTCCAGGATTTGCAGTCCAATACATTTCCATTATGTTACCTAGCCAAACCCGCCACCTCATGTGCCAAAGTCAAACGGTTGTTCTTCCTTCCCCGCTCCCTCTTTTTCTACATATGCGGTTAGGCAATAGCTCTATATGACCGGCTAGGGTGACCAGAGAAGAGGGGACAACTTTGCTCCGCTCCGCACCTTTCCTGTATCTTTCTTTCTATCCATAGGTTGGCTTCGTGCAGATAGATGTTCGCCGTGGGAGATTGGTGCTCCTTTAGGTATGCCTTTCCCGGTTGCTTGTTCCCTTCTCTTTTCCATCCAGTGCCCGCACTGCGTAAGAAAATCTTCGTCTTCGATCTATCTTCGCAACGCAAGAAAGAAGTCACACTCTTTCTCTCGGCTCATGCGGTCATTGATTAGGGGGTCTGCGTTCACTAGAAAGCCTACGCCCGTCCATTCCTTGAAAGCTTGATCCCGCCCCCCGCCTTTCATCTTGCCCTTGTGACGCAACACGCCAACAACGCTTCGCGCCTTTTTCAATCTAGCAAGCTACCCTCTCGCTGAAAGGGCTCTGTCTCCACCGAAGTCGTGTTGCTTTAGAGTCTATGTCTATAGGTTCGAGAACCTTCTCTCATTGCTACGCACCTGAATTTCACCAAATCATCAGTCGCACTCTTTCTCTCGGCTCATGCGGTCATTGATTAGGGGGTCTGCGTTCACTAGAAAGCCTACGCCCGTCCATTCCTTGAAAGCTTGATCCCGCCCCCCGCCTTTC